AAAGAAAATTTAAATGTATTATATATGAAACATTTTATATACATATATATATATATATATGTTTTTTATTTTTCTTTTTTTTTGTTTTGCAAATGAAACAATGGCAAATTATTAATTTTATTTTCACATTTCTTTAATACATTTCCGTCTTTGTATTTAAATATGAAAGATTAAAAATATTCAAACAAAAAAAAAAAAAAATGAAAAAAAAAGAAAAAAAAAGAATAATAACAATAATAACAATAAAGAATATTCTATAGCGTTATATTATTTAGATAAAATATATCAAACATTTTTTTCCACTACAAAATACAATAACAATAATGTTATTTACTTTAATATAATATATTATACTAATGTTAAGTTGTATTTCGATATAAAACCATTAGAAATTTCGATGTTACTTCTTAGCTAATCCCCATATATATATATATACATATACATATGCACATATACATACACACACACACGTATATATATACATATTTTATGTTTCAAATTATAATAATTATTTTTCTATGGGATTTGGCAATACGTCAATAAAGAACGAACGAGCCTCTTGTGATCTCGCGAACGAGAATATTTCCGCGAGAATAAATTAATATTTGTGGTATACTCGTAAATCCTGTTCTGGGTTGCCTCTATCTATTTATCTCTCTCACTCTATCTATCTATCTATCTATCTATCTATCTAACCATCTATCTATCTATCTATCTTTCTCTTTCCCTGACCTTGTTTCGTTTCTTCACCTTAGCTAACGCGAGAGACACATTCCAGAGATTTATAGACTATTCCTGTGGTTATTCCTCGAACTACATATATCTCTTTAGAAAAAGAAATAGAAGAAGAAAAAAAAAAAAAAGAAGAAAAAAAAAAAATAAATAAAATGGAGTCGAAGAAAGGATCAAAAAGAAAGTAGTTAAAAGAAAGAAACGAGAGAAAATAAAGAAAGAAAAATTCTAGACTTATTTACTTTGTTTTACATTACACGTTAACATAGGCAACATCTAACAAAATGATCGTGTTTGAATTTGTTCGGAATTTCTCCCGTAGCACATATTTTTCATACTTACGATTCTTCGATGTAAAAGAATCCAAGTACATCTTCTCTCTCTCTCTCTCTCTTTTATTCTTTACTCACAATTATTCCCTCTTTTTATTATCTATTTTTTTAAATTATATATACACATATACACACACATACCTATATATTTATATATATATATATATATATATATATATATATACATGCGCGCGAGCGTGCTCGCGTTATATATCTCATTATGGAGGCAAAACGTTTACAGGATCACATAGGGAGACATTAATCTTCTCGGAGTGCTCTCGACGATGTCAAAAAAAATCTCACTCCTTTGTATATGTAATACGTATACCTATATATATGTTATATTTGTATGTATTTATATATATATATATATATATATATATATATATATATCTGTGTGTGTGTGTGTGTATTATATTTGTCGTTGAACGTGACCGTGTTCTCTTTTACGAATCACGCTCTAATTTATTCTAAGAAAGAGAAGAAGAAGAAGAAGAAGAAGAAGTGGTGTGTATTTTAAAAGACACACCGTGGATGGGACTGATTAAAAAAAGAAAAGAAGAAAAAAAAAGGGGAAAAGAAGAGAGAGAAAAAAAGGAAGAAAAGAGAGAGAGAGAGAGAGAGAGAGAGAGAAAAGACTGGGGGTGGGGGTACGAAAAATTTCTTTCATCTTTCCGTTTTTCCCCCCACTCCACCCCCCCCCCTCTTTTTGTCAAAGAAGAAAAAGGGCAAGAAAAGAAAAATTCAAGAAAATTAAAGGAAAGAAGAAAGGATTTGCAAGAAAGAAAGTAAGATGGAGGATATGTTTTTTGTCGTCCATGTTTTTTTCGTTTTAATGGAGAATCTCGTTCGATCAATATTCCGCACAGGTATCTTCCTTCCTTCCTTCCTTCCTTCCTTCCTTCCTTCCTTCCTTCCTTCCTTCCTTCTTTCCTTCCTTCCTTCCTTCTTTCCTTCCACTTTGATATTCTTCCTTCGGTAAAACGAAAACTGATGCGAGTGTTCCCTGTTGGCACATCCTTTGCGTGCCTACTGGATCTGGAAGGGTGTTAGGCCGGCATGTTAGCGGTCGACGTAATGACAGGCGCGGTGAACATTATGCTAAGTGCGACCCCCGTTCTTCTCTTTCCTTTTTTATTTTGTTTCTTTTCCTTTCTTTTCTTTTCTTTCTCTTTTTTTTTTTTTTTTTATTTTTATTTCTCTTTTTTCACCTTTTCCGCCTTGTTTTACTTTTCTTTTACTTCGTTCTGTCCTTCTACTCTTCTTTCTTCCTTTCTTTCCTTTCGTTGTCTTCTTTACTAACTACTATCACTATTATCTACTACTAACTACTATTGATATTGTTGCCGTTTACTTTTGCCGATTTACTAATGCTGTTATCATTTTTCTACCATTCTTTCTTCAACTATTTCTCTCCCTCATTCTCTATGATCTTA